AAATATATATATAAAGCATCCTTTCTGGAATTCTGTTTTCTGGCAAGTGAAGGTTACTGTTTAAAGCACCAGAACTCAAGAAGCATGGGTTCATTAGCTTTATCAATGTAAACATCATCTAACACTGTGAAATATTTGGAAAAATGCTGTGCTATTGAATTTTATCAGTTCCGCCCAGCACTGTCCTCTGGTAAAACTAATCTAGCTTGAATTACGCTTAAGGTGCTGTTGTTTCCTTTGCTTGGAGGAACTTCTTTTTAGAAGTTCGGGAAGACACCTCAGATGACTTTTCCTGCTTAGTCAGAATCTTTTCTCTGATAGACTGGCCTTGATCTCTCGGAAAGCGCTGATTCAATGAACCTACTGTAACATATCGGCTGGTCAGGGAAAAAAAGGAACACGTTCAGAAAGTGTAGGCGTGAGGACGTGACAGGAAGAAGATAAAGCAGAGTTCCTGCAGGTTGTACTGTTAATGAAATAGTTCAGTTTTACATGCAGCTCAGCCGTGCTGGGAGAGATTGTCTGTACCGCTAGACTAGTTTTTTGTCTCACAATAGTATTGCTTTTTAACGATATTGATATATACACTATATGGACAAAAGTATCAGAACACCTACACATTACAGCTACACAATCTTTTATGATATCTCATTCTAAATCCAGAGGCATTAATATGGAGTTGGTTCCCCTTTGCAGCTATAACAGCTTCCACTCTTCTGGGAAGCTTTCTGCAAGATTTTGAAGTTTGTCTGTGGTAATTTTTGCCCATTCATCCAGAAATGCATTTGTGAAGTCAGACACTGTTGTGGGACGAGAGGGCCTGGCTTGCAATCTCTGTTCTATTTAATCCCAAAGGTGTTGTCAGGACAACAATATTTCTTTTTGCAGATCTGTTTTTGTCTGGTTCAATGTAAGGTTCCCTTCGGTGTAACTAAAGTCATTCAAACAAGCTAAAATACTGTGCAAGTTATTAGTAATAAACATTTTCCATTTTCCAAGAGATACTTGCCTAAGAAAAAGGACAGTTAAAGTAATAAATAAAAAAACAGTACTTTCCAAATTGTAGTACAAAAAATTATTAAAGGACATAGTGAAAATGGGTCTCTTAACAACCACCTGCAAAACCTGGTAGATCACCAAAAATGTCCCCATCAGATAAACAGCACTTAAAGCTTTCATCTTTGAGAAAGCGGAGAAAATCAAGCTGCTCCAGATCTGAAAACATCCACAGGTGTTTCTGTCTCAGCACTATGGAATTGAAAGGATCTGTAGCTGTCAAGAAGCCTTACTGAGAAAAGGAAATAGACAACAAAATGACAACATTTGCAAATCAAACAAAGAAGCTGCTGGTGATCTGAGGACAATATACGGTCCACCCCAGAGTCCAGACGTCAACATCATTGAATGTGTTTAAGATTACTGGGATGAAGCAGGAAACGATAAGCCAACTTCTAAGACTAAAAGCAAGTCTCCTGAAAAGAACGGAAAGTATAATAAAGGCAAACATTAGACACACTAAAATCTAAAAAAATATAATATTTGTTTTTTTTTTCGGACGGTGAAAAATGAATGACTTAATGGCTGTTTTGGAAATAAAATAAACAAAGAGTGGTCTCTGAATTTTGCACAGTACTGTAGGACAGGTGTGTAAAGACATTACTGCATTAAAGTGCACCAGTACACAGGAAGCACTGGATCATTAATATATATAAATGCAAACTTAAACATCACTAGATACAGTGTACTGTGATGCCTGTAATACTGTGATACATCTGATTTTTCCGGTATCGCCCATGACTAGAGCTCTGTTATATGGCCCTATAGGACAAGAGAGGATGTGTAACGTTTTGTGGCTTTGAGCCTTTAGGTGTCATTCTAATCTCTGAATAATCAATCACCGTTGACATGCAAGCGACCACTTGCTAATGACCCGTTCTTGGTTCACGTAAGCCTTCTACACTGCTTTGGTGATGCTCTACGATAGATCCAACAAAGAGAAAAATCGATCCCAATGTAGAGATTTATGTAATAATAACCATCAAAAATTCAAGTCAATAATGACTGTCAGAGCGACTGAATACAAAAAACCTACAATCTAGAAAGTGTACGTGTCCATGTGTGGTTGTGTGAGAGAGAGTGAGAATAAGTGTGAGTGATGACACCAGAGACCGCGCAGAGCCAACAGAACTCCTCCTACTGCATCAACTAGCATCAGAGAGCCTGTTGCCATGGCGACGGGCCTCGGCAGCGAGCTGCGCTTGTTATAAAACTCATAAGAGTTCCTAACGACCCTGAGAACGAGCCGGTCATGTAGTCAAAATAGCTTCTCCAAAGACATCCTCCCCATCTCATCCTCCCTCGGCCTCTCTCCGGTACTATAGAGAAACGCTTCCAAACGTGATAAATCAATAACTGCACACAGGAGCCTAATCCTGCGTACCGAGACTGCTGCTTGACTCGTAGGAAGCATTGTTTGTTCACCCAACCTTGCTGCATCAGCACAGAATTTACCGTCAGCAGTGCGTTGCAGTTTGAAGTTCAGCAGAAAGGTCACATTTGAATTTGCCTTTTGTAAGCACAGGTCAAAAGCCTGTGGTTTTATTGTGCAGCACGACAAGGAACACTTATCTTCATGTACTGTATTAAACAGGATTAATTGATGCTATCTGTTAGGATTTTATTTGCATCTCGCAAGCCTGGGCATCTATTTAGATAGGAGCACGTTTGTTCAGACCACAATGCCGTGCTGTATTTACGAGGGGAAAATAAAGGCATATCTTATTCAGCCCGGCCAGCACAATGATGCCAGGCGCCTGTTCTGCTGCGCGTAAGTAAATGGACAGTGACACCATTTCTGTTCTAGCTTTGTACTCCAGAGCAGTGGATTTAAAATCAAACAGTGACTGTAAGACTGAAGTATGAAATGTTAGCTTTATTTTAACACCATTTACTGTATTGGGTGAGCCTTTTAGGAATCTCGGCTCTTTCCGTAGAATTCTTTCTCATTTCAGGGCTGTGGTCTCTGTATTGTTCACTCAATATATATGTAATATCTTCCATTTTTGTCCTACGTATAAGTTCTCAGACGTCCATCTTTCTTTGAAACTCACAGATTGATTCTAATGCCCCCTTGCACAATGCATGACCCCAGTGTTGCTGGTTAGAAGCCATTTATGAGTCCCAGGCCAGCTCTTTGTCTGGCTTTTATAACCTCGAGTCTTTCATTGCCTCTTGAATTTGTCGACTCGAGTTCTTCTTATTGAGTTGGCGGAGCGACCCCCGTCCCTCGCAGCTGCTCCCTTTCTCTCAGCTCCTCTTGGCAGGGATGGAGGCTGTCCCTGATTTCCTGTTGCATAAAGCCTGCCTGGCTCTCGTTTAACTCCTTCAGCAGCACTTTGGCTAACGCTGTCACACATGGGCTCTAAAAATGATTGCGGAAAAATGGATTACATTTAATAACTTGCAAGTCAGTGTCCAAACAAATTGCATTCATCTGTGGTACCTGATAGCTTTCACAATGATATAAATAGTTTTATTCTTCTGTACTCTGTAAATAGAGCACCTATCTTGTACCTGCACTCATTGGCCATTATATCAGTAACTGTTGCTGTAGCTGGGTTTTCATTCAAACGCTTCGCAAATTTAAAGTGAATTTCTGAAAAGTTGGTAAAGGAAATGTGAATTAATCAGCGTCTCCGTCAACTATGATTTTGTTCAAATTCCTGATGACGTGACTTGCTTGCGGCATATTGCACGAAAGGGCCTTGCTCACTGCATATACAATAGAAGGATTTGAATTTTTATTAGCTCTCTGTAGAGCACTTTTGACAGCCCTCTGTTATCTGTACATAGCTGTAGCCCTAACAGTTCAGAGATGTCAGGCGGAGCGGGCAGTGGCCCATTTAATGAGGGCTGAAGACGCTGTCCCACTTTGCCGTCGTCCACCAAACCTTGGTGAACACAGACAGACAATTCTCAGTGGATGTAGTGACTTTTGTTCTGGCTGCGTCATTGCTTATTTAAAAAATCTGTTGCCATAATTTTTTTTGCATTTCTCCTTTATTGGCAAGCCAAGTTTTTCACCTTATCCAGACATAAAACTTTTTTAGCGATTTTTAGCCATCTTTTAGCCATAAGACCATCGCTGACCGGATGTTATTTGGGTGGTGTTCCATTATTAGCACAGCAGTGACACTGACATGTTAGTGTGTGCTGCTCTAATATGATTGTATCAGGCACAACTGTGTTGCTGGCGTTTTTACACACGTCAGTGTCACTGCTGGGTTAAGAATAGTCAGCCAGGCAACAGTATCCAGCCAAGAGTGGTCATACAGTCAGAAACTGACCCCTGATGACAGGCTAGAGGATGACTAACAAACTGCGCATAGAATAATATGAGCTACAAGATAGGCGTATGAACAAGGTAGGATCTAAGTGGCCAGTAAGCATATCACCCTGCAAATGACCCCTGGGTAAAACTAATAATAATTAATAATTGAAACTTTAAAAGCTATACAGCACTATGCAAAAGTCAGAGACCACCATTTATTTAATTTCCAGTCAAAACGGCCATTAAGTCATTCATTTTTCACAGTCGTGAAAAAAAACCCAATACATATTAGTTTATTTATTTACCTTTATTAGCTTCCATTCTTTTTAGGAAACTTGCTTTCAGTTTTTCAAAGACATATGCAGGGATGTTTTTCCACACCCCTAAAGTTGGTTTTTCATTTTATGTATCTCACGCTTCAACCAGTCATGACTTCAAGACTCTGTGATGTTGAGTTCTGGGCTCTGAGATGGTCAGTCTCTTGTTCTGAGAACTCTAGCACCTTCTCTGTATGATTTGTCTATTTCCTTCTGTCAGTAAGGACTCTGACTTTTGCACAGTACAGAATATGATTGTAAATTTGTTTATATTATAAGTTTATATTAGCATGTTTTTTGAAGGCCTGCTTCTAAATGCTCGACCTTATCCTGTTTTATGTCTTGTCTTGCAGAAATCTATCCAAGAATCCACTCACCACTCTTTCCTGGCTGCTCTTCCGGCACCTGCAACTGGTCGAACTGTAAGTTCTCTAAGGCACTGAGTGGCCTCTGCTCCTTTTCATTTCATTGAGTTCACTTTATAGATTCAAAGAATCAAAATCTTGCTTGGGTGTACACTGGGGATGCACCATTTTAAAAGCAGTGCTTTGAACAATTAGTAGTGGTTAGCACAACAGTATAAGGGATTAGCAGTGATTAACACTTTTCGATTCACAGTCACCATGCAATACATGGAAAGCATCTGATTTGTCAGGCTTTGTGAACCTGTAATATGCATTAACATCTCACTGAACATTCAACAGCACTATCTGAGGTCAGGAAGCATAATGTGGCACATACTTCTGTGGTTCTTTAGTGTTTGACAGATGCGCTGTTTGTAATTACAAAAAAAGCAATAGGCATATTTCTAAGTGAAATCTCTCCATTAACTAACTGCAGAGGACAAAATTGTGGTTTCGATTAACCTTCGATTAATTTTGCAGTCAGAGCCATTGCTCTTATCCTGAGCAATTTTGAGCGGTACTCTGAGCAGTGTTTGCTGTACTTTAACAGTACTCAACTATGACGCTGCTCACTGATTAAGAATATTTCTTGTAACACAGGTAATTTGTTGGTTGTACATGCAACACCACCACCAGCCCCCAGTATAAATCTGTGTTTGTGTCAAAGCAGCACACTCCTGGAGATTGAACATTAGGGCTTTGCTACACGGCCGTAAGCAGCCGACTCATTTGTGCTGGTTAATTAAGACATGGCAGTGAAATGTATTGGTTTTGTCTGCTGGGAGCCTGACCTCATTTTCTTGTTTGTCATGAATATTTTAGCAGTCTGTGTGTACATAAAGTGATGAGTTTGTTCATTGATCATCGAGGGAGGCACTGCTGTCATCATACCATGCTGGAATTAGTAAAACAGCTCAGCTCCTGACGATTTGACACTTCCCATCTTAAACTATTGCCAAGAAAGAATTAATGACAACTTTTTTGTAGGCTAATGGTGGGTTAATTTTGTTTGCCTGAATGTATTGCATGTATGTATCTATACATATTTTGGTCCTTCACACACTTTATTTCCAGAAGACTCCAGCCCCTTCTAATTAAGGTATTCAGATACCTTAAGATGCACCCATTACTGAGTAATTGAGACATGTTGTGTGGAGTGCTAAAGCACCTTCAAACACATTTGGGATGAGTTAAAACTCTATTAAAAAACCTTTGGGATGAGTTGGAGTGATAATGCTCTATTGGACACCTTAGGGATAAGTGAAAACTCTGTTGAACACGTTTGGGATGAGTTAAAACTATTGAACACATTTTGGATGAGTTAAAACTCTATTGAACACCTTTTGATGAGCTAAAACTATTGAACACCTTTGGGATGAGTTAAAACTCAATTGAACACCTTTGGGATTAGTTGGAGTGATAATGCTCTATTGGGCACCTTAGGAATAAGTTAAAACTCCATTGAACACCTTTGGGATGAGTTAAAACTCTATTGAACACCTTTGGGATGAGTTGGAGTGAGAATGCTCTGTTGGACACTGTAGGAATAAGTTAAAACTCTATTGAACACCTTTGAGATGAGTTAAAACTATTGAACACCTTTGGGATGAGTTGGAGGGACAAAGCTTATTTGAACACATTAGGGATGAGATTTGACATTTTACAGAACACCTTTGGATGTGTTGAGGTTCTACTGAACATCTTTGGGAAAAGCCAAAAAAAGCGATGAAGTTCCATGGAACCTTTGCGATGAGCTGGACTGATGAACCTCCATTTCCAACTTTGAGATGAGTTGAAACTCATTTAGGATGGTTTGGAGTGGCATTTGTAATCCAGAACTAATTACCCACCATCAGTACATGACCTCACTAATTCTCTTGTGGCTGAATGCAATGAAATCCTCAAGCAACGCTCCAACATCTAGTGTAAAGCCTGCCTAGAAGAGTAGAGGCTGTTACTGCAGCAAAGGAGGACTCCCTATTAATACCCTTCAGAAGAAATGGATGAGCAAGTGTCTGGATACTTTTGGATATAGTGTATATATAGTGGGTTAAAAGCAGTGAAATCGCAGGTTCCCTCTGTCTTTTGAAAACAAATTTGTGTGGAAAATGCATGCCAGGCTAGAATTTTCACCCTGAGTAAAACGTAACGTTGAAAGTAGCAGTTCCGTTCTTTGCCCAAAATGAAAATGTCGTCAGTCACGGTGAATTAGGCTTATTTACCAGGTGGGTGTTGCAGTTTGTTTGTAATTATTTCAGTGAAGCTCAGCATGAGAATCGCTGATAAAGTGCCCACCTGCACTCTCAGGCCTGCCTGAGCCCAGCACCCTCCACTTTATCTTGCCTGACAGAAGAGGCCCTGTCGCTGCTTAGCTCTCCTGGGCTATGTGCATGTTAACATCCGAAGGATTTGATGATGTTACATAATGGCTTAAACTGTCACCAGAATATTCTGGCTCACTCTAATCATTCCAATGACTGAGTCAAAATCCTCACAAAGAAGAGGAGATAATGTGTTTATGTGTTTGTAAACATACATGAAGAAATTGTTGAAGAAAAATATGTGAAGAAAATATTTTTGAAAAATGTAAAAAATTACATGGGTCAGAAGTACAGCTAGACAAACAGAACTGTGCAGAAATCAGAAACCATCCATTCATTTACTTTTCAATCATAGTGGCCATTAACTACTAGTTATTCAGTATCAGGAAAAAATGTAGAAACATATATTTCACAGAAAATTATAGACAAGCGTCAATAACTAAATATAATATAAAATTTTGCAGTATGTAGTGTGTCCACCCTTTGCCTTTACTACAGCTTCCATTCTTTTCAATAGACTCACTCTTAGTTTTTTAAAGAAATCAGCAGAGATATATTTCCACACCTCCAAAGTTCAGTCTTAGAAGTTGGTTGCATTTTCTGTTTCTCATGATTCAGGATATCCCAAACATTTCATGATGCATTTTTTAATATTTTTTAACTCTGGAAACTCCAGTTTTGGAAATTCCTGTTTGTTCATTTATATTTCTTTGACTTTCCCGTTCGTTATGCAAGTAGATAATATATTTAAGCTTATATCTTCTTAGAAATATCTCCTGAAAAATAAACTGGTAATAAACTTGTACTGAATGGCCATTTTGACTGAAAATTCAATAAATGAAGGGTGGTCTCTGACTTTTTGGCAGTACTGTATACACTAGTTCGCTATATTTTTGAGCAATGTTGTGATATTTTCACTCTCCTGGTCTGAACTACTAACTTGAAGCATGAACTATTGCCACAACAATCATTCTTCAGTATTGCTCTTGCTATTCTTGGGAACGCTGCCAAAGTGGTCTCGAGAAGAAATACTTGCCCACCGCAACATGTCATTCACCGCAGTTATTCTATTCTTGGATCCAAGGCCTGACATGCTGTTGTCCTTAGAGGACCTTGTATTTATTGAATGCTGGGTATATATAAGGCTCTCAGCAGTGCTCAGTCTGTTCTCTGTGCCTTTCCCTGGCTTTAACTGGTAGAGGGAATCTATAGACTGTTCCATTTGTAACCTACTGCTGTGTGCTGTGACTTCTGACAAATGTTAGGGTAGCTTTGGATACTCCCTTACCTCAGAAAGCAAGGGTTGTTAGTACTAGATCTGTCATTTTGAATGTAATATGAAGTCACAATCACGAAATTTTAGCTGACGATATGTAATAATAATTGCAATAAACAATTTAATTGTTCATTGTAAACAATTAAATAGTGTACAAGCCTAAAGTGCCATTTTGTCTGATTAGCTTTCTCGTTTCCTAGCTGTTAATACTTAGTAGTCAATAAACAAACATTACTCACTGCTGCCGCCTAAAGGTGTTTCAGCACCAGTTAAAATAAGAATTTTGTTGTTTTCATAAGACCAATAATATGTCACAAAAATACCATTTCTGCTTTCTTTTTTTTACATGCATTTGCCTCAAATCAATGGATGAGAACAACTCAACCCACAATTCACGTTCTGTTTGTTGTAAATACGTGATTGTGAAAGCTAACAACCGTGGAAAATAATTGCAATCAGGTCAATAATAGTGATCAGGCAATTATGTAATAATTGTGACAGGCCTAATGATAGTAATTGAGTAATTCACAGATTATTTTTATGATTACTGGGTAAAAAAAAACTATACATGGGCTTTTAAAGATATTTGTATTTATTTATTGTATTCCAAGGCTTATTTTTCAATAACTACATGGAAATGAAAGCAATTCAGTTGAGTTATTACTAAGTTATAGAAGTGTATAATAGATCTTTGGACCCATCGGCTAGCAAGGGTTTAACAGTTAAAAAAAAATAAAAATACAATGTGACAAAAATGCATATAAAATGTCATATAAAAGGGTACTTACTGTAAGACCAAGTAGTCAGAGAGTTTAAACTATACATTATCATAAATCTTTGCCAGTTCATAAAGATTTTATAGATATTGTGACATCAATATTGTACAGTTGTTCATTTAGTCACTTCTCCAAACCATTTAATATAATTCAATATCAGTTTTGGTCCAGCCAGCTGAGGGGATCCGCTAGAGTACCAATGATGCGAAAACATCTCTCTGGTAATGTTACCAAGATGGCACTTTTGACGTAATGAACCTCAGTCAGTTGGTTGCACAGAATGCACAGAAACTTGTGAGTTAACCATAAAGACTGATTACTTTAGACAGCAGCGGTGGGCTAGTGGGCTAAGTCAAGCAAATGGGACACCACAGATTCCTGGAGATTGCAGGAAAGGATTTGCAAACTGATGAAGGGTTTGAAAACATACAGTAATGTACCATGTTTTCTGTCCCAAGCGTTCAGATTACTGGAATGGAATATCATGCTGAGATGAAAGACATTGTATAATGATATACAGTACAGTTCTTTCCTTTCCTTATAAGCTCTTCGTTTTGATTTGATTCAGCTGTGAATGCAGCCGACCGCATTTCAGTAGGCAAAGTCTACTATTGTGGTGCTAATCATTACTAGGTCAGTAAGTGCAGTTGTATAATGAGTCTCCAGTACTTTATTTGCTCAATGTGCTCTTTAGGAAATAACTCTTATTTGTTGTACCACAGAAATTGGGACATCGTAGTAATATGGACAACAGCGAGCTCATATTATCATGCAGACTAGCACATTTACCATGTAATTTACTTGTCAGGCAATTATGGAAATATTTATGTTTGCAGTCCTGTTATCAGTAATGTAATATTGTAATTATATAATTGGATGCTGGATTAACGATAGAGTACTAGACCCTTTCTTTCGTGTTGTTCCCCCTCCTGTTCTTCACATTTGTTTCACCAACCTCTATACAACTTGAGCTAATGAAATGGTTTTGTCCTCTATCAGTCCGCTGTGCCGCTGCATAATTTCAGCTTGCTTATAAGAAGGGTGGCTGAGGGTTTGGGTAGCTTCAGAAAAAACACATTTTACTGAAGAGTGGTTTTTGTCTGTTTTGCTTTTTTTTTTAAATTTAATTCTCTTCTTAACCTTAAGTGTCAGGAAACAATGTGAAATCCATGTGCACAACTGCTCAAACATGGACCTTCAGGATGAAAGCAAACAAACACACAAACAAAAGGAATTAATGAGGCCCTGCCAAATCCCAGCAAAGTCCACAAGTCCATGTGGAGACAAATTGGTCGAGTCACGATTCACTTAGATGTGACGGACGCTCAGAGCTTCTCAGACTCATGTAAGAAATTTCATTACATGTGTAACTCGAGTCAGGATTTAGACCCACAAGAATGCAGGAACATCAAGCAATAATAACCTACAAAAGGGAGATGAAACATCATAAAAAAGACAAAAGAAGCACTAGTACTGTACAAAATTCAGAGACCTCCATTTCATTTATTTAATTTCCATTCAAAATGGCCATTCAGTACAAGTTATTCATTTTTCAGCATCAAGAAGAATGCAGAAAGCATTTAACAGAAGATTACACAAAAAATAATATCAGCATTTTTACTATTCACTGTGTCCACCCTTTAGTAAGAAATCTGCAGGGATATTTTTCCACAGCTCCAAAGTTCAGTCTTAGAAACTGGTTTAGCATTTTCTGTTTTTTACGATCCCAAGTAACCTCAAGCACATTCAGTAATGTTGAGGTCTGGACTCTGGGGTGGTCAGTCCATTGTTCTGAGCAGGTTATTTGTTTGATTTGCAAACAAACATTTTCTTCTTTTATGTCTATTCACTTTTCTCAGTGGGGTCTTCTTGACAGCTACACATCCTTTCAGACTCATTGAGTTGAGTTGTCTTCTCACAGTGGCATCAGATCAGATCAGATTTTCAGATCTGAAGCAAGAGTGGAGCTTGATTCCTCTTTCTCAAAGATTTTGAAAAGTATCTCAAAAGTATTAAGCGCTGATTATCTGATAGGAAAGCAGTCTACCAGTCTGCCAGTCTTACCCAGCTGTTAGGAGTCCCACTTTCCGTTTGTTTAATATATATATATTTTTTTAATCCAGTTTTGTAAACTTTTATCTTATGTTTTGTTACCACTTATTTTCCTTTGACTTTTCTCCTCCTTATGCAAGTGTATTGCTCAAATGTCTCTCCTTTACGAATTGTAGATGCACATAAGAAAGAAATGTGTAGTTGTTTGTGTGAATGTTTGTTTGAAGGGGAACATATTGTTAGTGAAATCTTTGAGAAGAGTTTTCCATTTTGACTGGAAATTAAATAAATGGTAAAAAAGGGTTGTCTGATTGTCATTCACTCTCAACCTTAAACCAAAAACCTTAAACCCAACCCTAGCTCTGTCTACTCGTAATCGTAGACGTAGTGCTTTTGGGTTTTACCAGAGTTTCACGGTATAGTTTGTTAATAATTTAAGCATTTGTAGATAATGTATTGTGCACTGTCTATATAAATTGGGACCACTTCAATCTTAAGTATTTTGTTTCATTAGTTTTCTGGATTATTATGAATCATCTACAGTTGTGCCTTTGGCAGACACACTTACCCTGAAAGATTTACAGTTCCGTCATCTTACAGAGGTAGGTGGATGTAGTCTTACCCAAGGGCTCTTATAGGTGTTCTTACCCAAGTGGGGAATTTAACCCTGGTCTGACACATGGAGGCAGCTCTGTTCATCATTCTGAACACATGTAACATTTAATGTTTTAGGATACAAGCATTATGTCTGCATTTATATTGGTTTTATATTATATTTATGTTATTCCAAACTTTGGAACAGTAGCATGTAGGTTCTCTCATGTGAATACAGACTACTTCATATGATATTTAATTGTATATTATGATTAACTGTATCTGTCTCGTGTGGCTGTGTACAGGAGGCTGGAGGGGATTGTGTTCGATTGTGGTTGTGGAATCCGCTGGATCCAGCTGTGGCAGCAGAGAGGAGAAGCAGGCTTAAACACCCAGCAGCTCTACTGCAAGAATGGAGCCTACAAGATCCGCCTGCGGGCAATGAGCATTGCTCACTGTGGTATGAACTGTTTGTGAACACTTTAAATACACAGCTGCAGTGTAAATGTAAAATGTGCAGTGACAACAAGCCAACCTGCACTGCCGACTGAGTATGGAAAAGAATAGGTCTTCAAGGACTTGATTTGACATGTGAGCAGATTACTTTTGGACCTTAATTGACCTATCTATGCTCCGCCCACAAATGCGTAGTTTGGTAGCAACTGTTGTGAGATTGGACAAGCTTAACAGTTGGCAGAAATCCCATTGAACCTTCTGTCAGAATACATGAACATAGGGATGGGCAATATGGCCAAAATATCATATCACAAAAATTAAACACATTTTCACAAAGCAAGATGTGTATCACCATATTTTGACACACAGCCACATTTAAAAACCACCATAAAAAAGTTTTATTCAACATATTACATAATGTACTGCACTAAATCCAATTAAACAGGGCTTAATATGCTCTGATTTCAGTGAAACTTGGAAACATCCAAGATACTCTTAGAAAAATGTAGTTTATCATGATAACATAACTGATCACAATTATGATAAAATATCATCAAATCACCCACCTCTACATGAACTTAATCATTTCAAATTATATTATTTTTTGTATGTATGTATGTGAAAGGTCACACTGTAGGGATAGCTTGGGTGCAGTTTTCCCTTTTTATGTGTAATCAAGCTTACATTAGCATGGTGGCAAGCAGCCTAGTTATAACAAAATAATATGGCTTGGTAGTGTAGCATTTTAAAATTAGAAACTCAACATTAGGTAGGGAAGTGAAGGTGAAAATTTCTCATTAGGTAAAATGGGATTTCTGTAAAAGCTAGTCCAGCCTTAAAACTTAAAACTTGGAAACTTCAAAAGAAAGCTATTGTAGCGTTTAGGTGAGGATATGTCTAAATGCACACCACGTTTCAGTAAAGATGCTTTCAAACTTCAGGTGACGTATCTCTCCCTCTAGCTCTCATACATCAAACACAAGGCCCAATCCTATACGGCTGTGAAATTATTTTGATTTTCTATTAATATTAGCCTGTTTCACAATGCGCTGCACTACAATCCCCAGCATGCATTGTGATGTGCGCTGCCACCCCCTCCCCCAAAAACAATCTATGGGACAGTGTTTACACCACAATTCCACACAATTCTACACAATTCCACAGCAGTCATATCAACAAACACAGTAGCTGCGTTTCAGCTGCAGTTCAACCAACATGAACACTTACCGTTAGCTCAGCAGCTCAGAAATCCCAAGAATGAACACAGAAAGCAAAGAAAACATGCTAAGTGACTAGATCAAGCACATAGGTAGGTTTAAAAGACCCACCACTTGGGGACACTAAGAGGTTTAACAGTAGCCTATATATATGTATATACTACAAGTGCTTATATTTTGCTGTTGATGTTTTGGCCTTTTTTAATAAGCACAGCCAGTTCGGGTTATAGCAAAATGTTATTTATATAAACATGGCTCACACATTTGTTGAGATTTTTCAGTATGGCCCTTTTAGTGGTTGAGTTTGACACTCCTGCTCTAGCTCCAGGGTTTTGGCAACAGCACTACAGATTCTTCTTCTTCAGTAACATTTTCTGTTTTTGTGAGATACTGATACTGAACATGAGCTTTTCCTCTCTCTGGTGCAGACCTTCCTGATATCAATGTAACTCACAGTAACCTGACGGTGATGGAGGGAGACAACATCACGGTTAGCTGCAATGGTTCAGGATCTCCATTGCCTGATGTGGACTGGACCGTGAATGGACTTCATTCTATCAACACACATCAGGTGAATGCCAGTCACTTGCTGCATGCTCATAAATGTGCATATTGTACACTTTTTAACCTAATTATCTTATGCTGTATGTTTTCTAGTCAAATGTTTATTGGCCGAATATTCACTCCATCAACCTCACTCTTGTTAATGTGAGCCGGGATGACAACGGCTTTATACTGACCTGCATCTCGGAGAACATGGTCGGGATGACCAATATATCTCTTCAGCTGGCAGTGCAATGTAAGTCCCTTTAACTCTTTTTGTTTTGTCACATTTTAGTATGTAGTCACTGTCAGATTGAATATATATATTGATATGTATCAGTAAAATAAGATTTTTCTAATACAATTTTGATATATAGCTATTTATTTTTATTATATATTATATACCTAATTATTATATAAATCGTATCATAAAATCATAAAAAAGTGCGGAGTTATAATTTTTACGACATGATGGATCAGATCAGTTGAAACCATCATGTAAGAGTCACTGATGCTTATTCGTTTTTAAAGTTGCTTTTTCTCAGTAAATTTATGAAATTACAACAAAACCATTTTATATTTAACAGCTTCAGAAGAAAACAAAGACACACAAGTGCATACCATATAGGTATATTGAATAGGAACTTGTGTAAAATGAACCTCTGTATGGCAAATTTACTTGAACAGAAGTAAATTTAGTTCTGTATGTTTTTGTAGAAGTTGATTCAACACTAGTGCTTTTACTGTCTAGTCCCTAGGGATGCACTGAAATTTTGTACACTGAAATGTTTGTCCATAAGAGAAAAAAGACTGATAATTTTGGCCAAAAAATCAAAAGATTAGAAGTTCTACTACTTGCAATAGTTCTACTAACAACTAAGGGCCTCATTTACCAATATCAGCAATACATTTTTTCCTAAATATGTTCTTGAGAAAGGTCTTAAGAAAAAGTCTACGTCAGATTCATGATGTGTTCTTAAACCGCTGAATTGTTCTCACCTTTGTGCTCTTGAGTGTGTGTAGATTCTGTTCTTACCTGAGAGCAAATCCCAAATAAGAAAACACTGGTGAAAGTCAAAATCTTTGTGAAAACTGCGAAAGTGGGTTTTAAGAAGAAATGTATTAATGTCTTTTTTGACCTAAGCTTAAAACAAGTAGGATAGATTTAACCATGTAAATGCAATGTTTTGCGATGCTTTCTGCAATAACACGTATGTTATGACAGCTTTATGACACCAAAATGAACATGAATGACAAAAGAAGAAAGGGTTTGCACTTCTGACAGGAGGAAGAGGTATCATGTTAAACATTTGGTCAGAAATAAACATCCATAAATATTTCGAAGGATGGAAAAACAATGCTGATATTTTGGAACAGGAAATTCAACATGGATACAGTTAGGAGCATCATGAAGGGTGTGTTTACCATCGCTTAGTCAGACTACGCTGGCGTGCATGTAAATGAGACTATAAATGGACTAGTCTTTTATACAGCTCATGTAAACATCTTGGTTTGGTCCAGTTTCTTAGACTAACTAAGAGCTAAGTTGGTCTGTTGTGTGCATGTAAATGTAGGTGTTGTCTCTTAGAATTCAGGGACACTATCCAATAAGCTCCTGGTCAGAACAAATATTCTTTGGCTGTAGAAACAGCGACTTGAAACATCTTTTTTTAACTGTGTGGCTTTCAGTATTTAGCAGGCTTGTTCTCATCATAACAGTTTCCACTTACAGTAATGTGCAAAAGTAAGAGACCACCCTTCATTTATTTAATTTCTAGGCAAAATAGCCATAAGAACAAGTTGCTAATTGTTTAGTAGCTATATCTGAGAGATTAGATATAAGATGTTCCACTTGCATAAGGAGAGGAAAGTCAAATAAAAAGACCTGGTAGACCACCCAAACTGACCCTTCAGATGAACAGCAATTAAAGCTTTCACCTTTCAGAGATCATCAAATGTGCTTAGGATTACTGCAATTGCGAGAAGCAGAAAATGCAACCAACTTCTAAGACTGAACTTTGAAGGTGTGGAACAATATCCCTGCAGATTTTGTTTAAACTGAAAGCCAAATCTCCTGAAAAGAATGGGAGCTGTAATAAAGGCAAAAGGTGAATGCAGTGATTATATTGTGTTTAGTTGTGTCATTTTCAGTTTAATATGTTGGTAACACTTCATTTGGACAGTCCACTTTAGATGCTTTGTAGATACTTAATTTACTTTCAAGTTACATTCAACTAAATATCTACTAAATTGAGCATTAATTTCTCTAACTCTAAATCTTGCTCTAACCCTAACCTTAACCTCAACCAAAAAAAACCTAAACCCAACCCTCACCCTGGTCCAAATCCTAGCCCTAACCCCAACACTGAGTTTCAACAGATAGTTTGTTAACAATTTGAACATGTGTAAAGTAAATCTGTAAAGTGAGACCAGTATATTTTCTGCTTTTTTGGTGCTGAAAAATTAACAACATATCTCCTGAACAATCAATATATTGTAAATAATGGCCATTTTGACTATAAATGAAGAGTGATCTCTGACTTTTGCACAGCACTGTACCTTCACACAGTGTAACTAGTCCGTGTATAAAAAAGATGGAGAAATTTTAAGCGCAACTCAAGCTATTGATTAATTCTGGGTGATGGTTTCATTGCACAGAATGAGAAGCGCTTTACTCACACACATCAGCTCACCACTGAAGATGGCTTTGAAGCTGCTGGCTGCCTTTTGAGATTACAGCATAGGCACAGGAGTCAGTTGTTGTGACAGGCAGCTGCATAATTACATACATTTGGGGGCTATTGAGTCATCTCAGCCAGTGGCCTACCAAGAGCAGGGGCAAAGTGGTGGAAAAAATCCTCGATCGAATAGCCTCTATAAGGATCAGGTCTTCAGACTGTTATGATGCAATGGCACTATGATGACTTCCTTTAGAGACGGAATCAACAGTATTGCTTAAACCTCCTCCAGAAAGAACCGTCCAGTCTGCCTGCAGCAGAGATATTTATGCTTAACCATTTGAGTCATAACAAGGTAGAATTTGGCTGTTAGTCATCCTGCTGCTGTCAGCTTGCTTTTTCTGGCATTCATGGTGAATTCTACCAGTCAGATTCCCTTCACTTTGTGCAGTGGAATTGTGCTGGGTTCAGATATGTTTTTGTAACTCAAAGTGAGTGGAATAGGCTCTGTATTAGAACCAGTGCTGTGCACATGCTTATCCCATCACTCTTGACACCTACTCAGCCTAGGAAGTCATCTCTGCTCGCTGGCAGTTGTTTTAACAGCTTTTTCACTTGAGTAATGTATCAATTATTTGTTTATACGGCTCTTTGAGTACTCTAATTGAAACATCATGAAGCCTTTGATTTGTTATTCCAATTTAAGCTTGACAAACCACATTTCAGGAGGTGCAGATATGTAGGCTATTTGATGTATTTGCAAAAGCATGTCAATGCATTGTAGTACATTAATGCGTCATGCTCATAACTGTGTCTTCTTTCCTAGTTCTGAGTTTGATGTAAAATGCACACTAAAGTAACAAGACAGTGCCTGTTTTTTGTGCCCTAAATTCCACCCATTTTAAGTTTAAAATCTGTAGCATAATTCAATCATTGAGAAAGTCATTCAGTGGCTTGTTGTGAAAGGGTGCAAATTAAATAAAGAAGCTGCTGGTGTTTTCAGAATAGTGGACTGGTCATCCTAGAATCCACATCTCAGCATCAGTGAATGTGTTTGGGATTACTTGGATAGTTAGCAAGAAGCAGAAAATGCAACTAACTTTTAAGACTGAGCTTTGGAGGTGTTGAAAAATATCCCTGCAGATTTCTTTTAAAACCTCAAAGAGAGTTGTCTAAAAAGAATGGAAGCTGTAATAAAGGCGAAATAACAACAACAACAACATATTTATGTAATAACTTTCTGTGAGGGAGCTTTTAGAGGCATTAAGACGTCTGGTTCCTATCACCACCACTGTGAACAATTCTGACTAGTTTCTCGAGAGTGGAGCATTTCACATTAAACCAATCTGAATGACTTTGTTTATATCTTAAACATTTAATTATGCAGAAATGTAGAAAAATCTGTGAAATTCTTCTTAAAAATAATATTACAGCCTAAGGCTTATTAGCTATTAACTAGATGGACTACAATGTAGACTGGCTGAGTTATTCTCAAGTTGAAGATGTGTTTAATAAAATTGTGGACCTGACCATTTAAGAGGTTAATTTGCACTGAGAACTGAATTATTTGATCCAGGACCGTGGACACAGACCTTTTAATTCTTAGAAGTCACAGTAGTTGAACATGTAATTCAATATGAATGATTTCACTCTTGTTCCTTATTGAGGCAAACAGTAAATTCAATGTGAACTCAATATGTAATGAGGTATAAAATTACAGAATTACATTTGAGCTGTCTAGTTGAACAAAGGAAATAAATCTTGACTCCTGAAGGTTAAAGGAAAGTGCCAAGCCGCTTTGTATACAGTAAAAGCTCGCTGTTCACCTCAAAACATCCAAAACATTGGCAGATTTAAAATAGAACAAGGTGGTAAATGAACTGATAAGCCAATTAACAAGAAAACACCCCAAAGCTTTTATATAAGTGTAATCAGAAACACTCTGTGGGCTCCGAAGGTGAAAAGAAAGACGGCAGTTTGAAATTAATTACAGGAATAGACCTTCCCTTATGCTCCAACTTAAAGGGTTAGCAGTAACCGGAAAGTTGCGTGTGGCCACTTGCCAGAGGGCCGAGCCCAGGATGAGACCCTATTGAGTGGCCGGTCTGGCTGCAGTTTTAATGGCAGTTGGTGTCTCTCACTGCTGAAGACATTTCATGCCCGTGGAATGGCCCAACGCTCAGGAGACATTATGTTCATTAAATAGCTCATGAATTTAAGCCGGCGGGTAGAGGAAGCCATACAGTTTAATCGCCACTTTGACGAACGACGCTGATGGTAAAATAAAGTGACAGCTTCAGCCCGAAGAGGTGCGTTTGGCACGTTCCGTTTTGACAGCGAAATGCACAGGGTGCAGCTGTTTTCCTCGTTAAGGAATGATCGTGCACAGTGGTGGATAAGTTTGCTTGAAATGTGCCATTATGTAACATGCTGCAAAGCTGTACAGCTTTGATCCCCGAAGGTATCAGTGTGACTCGGCTAATTAGGACCTTTCCTATGGGAGCAGATTTACTCCTGTTGTACTGTGAATGTGTGTCTGCAGGAGCTGGAAGAGGAATCAGAGGTTATCGGCTGTGTT